CTTCCGCTCCCCTCAAATAAAGAATTAAATTAAAGAATTCTGTAATGTGTCTCATATTTTGATTTTTCCGCAGATTTTGTTGTGTTTTTTAATGTTTAAGCGTGAAACTTAAATACGAGGTTGCAAATTGGTGCAGATACCTGTGACCCGAGCCTTATCTTGAGGAAAATCTAGAGTTCCTTCGTTCGCATAATATTTGTCTCTTTCAATTTGCAATTGAAGGGAAAACAATAATTTTTCTTTTCTCCTGTATTGCTACTATAATTATTATTCTTCTTGTTCATATATTACGAGTGAAAGGTTTCGAGTACAATGTTTGGAGTATAATGCTTCGAGTAAAACTATTTTTCCTCCCAATTGAAAAATTTACTTTGACAAATTATGAACCCTAAATCTGATTTCAATCAAGAACGCCGTTTGCCAAATCCACTAAAACTTAACACCGTCCAATTTTAAGGACTAATATTCAGAGTTTCAAAACTATAAGGACTAAAAACCATCAAAGTTTTGAGTAGGGACTAAAAACAAAATCGTGTGATACTTAAGGGATGAAAAACATATTTAACCCTTAATTTTTTTTTATATATTAACTTAATTTATACTTTTAACTTATAATATAACAAAAACATTTAAAAAATACGAATACACGTGGTTATATTTATGTTAGTTATAATAATAATAGTAACAATAATTTATTATTTTTTATTATTATAAAAGAAAATTGAACATATAATGTATTTTCACTAGTACTTAATAATTCTAATTATTTTTTAATTAATTTGCAAACATATTAATTTTAAATTTAATATATTTATTTATTTATTGTGATGGTTTATTTAAATTTGATACCGTGTTTAAGAGATTACAATTTAAGATAAAAGAAAACTAAAGTTATTAATTAGAAATGAAACAAATAGAATGCGAGAAAGTAAAAGTAAAAAATGAAAATTATAAAAAATAAATGAAAATTATGTTAATCAAAATAACATAATTACACCAAAATAACAAAACATTCAAATATAAAAAAAATATATATTAAAACTTCATAAGGCAATTATGAAACTAAAGTTGTCCATTACAAAACTAAAGTAGTAGTCTTAATTATATGTGCAAGTCTTTAAAAAATAGTATGGACCTTGAATATATGGTTAATCAGAAAGCACCACTAAACAAAACCTCTAAATCATTATTTATGAATAACACATTATAGTTATCAGTGCGATAAAGGGATTTTAATGATGACATCAAATGATACATAACTACATCGAAATCCTGCACTTAATATATATAAAAATGTATATGATTAAATGTGGCAATAGAAACGATAATGTATCATGTATGAGTTTTGACATGGATGAATAGACATACAAGAACGACAAAGGAAATGTAACAGTGCCCATCGAACTCATCAAATATAGAAATTGCAGGTTCTAAATATTTGCTGGTGTTTGAATCTCCCCTGTTTCTTCTTCTTTTCTATGCAAAGGATTGTTTATCTCACATTTACCGTTGCTACTGTTTTTTTTTTCTCACAGATGCGTTAAAACATTCAATAAAATTCTGAATCAGTTATATGAAGAAGTTCTGATACCAATTATAACAGACGATAGACTTTATAATCTAACGACAACAAAAGAACACAGATTCTACACCTGCCTGTCTGAAGTTGTAGGCAATCTCCTAAACATGACACTATATTTCTAAATAATAGATCTAACTATACGATTACTTACTAATATAACAGAAACTAACGATTAATTACCGATCTGCTTCTTTCATGCCAACAGATAACAAAAAATAATGGAGCGAGCCAAATGAATTCTTCCCCTGACAACGTATCGATGACTTCATCACACAGATCCTCGACGTAGAGGATTTGTGAGTTTTCAAAGGACCTTTTAAGGTACAATTTCACAAAATAGGGTTGGAAACGCACCTGAATCGCATGAGACTCTACACAGGAAGCCATGATAGAACCATTTCAATCTACAAATTACAAGCCACACCAGATGAGAACCAGTCCATCAGTAGTTCAGCACTGGGGCAATCAGCACTGCACCTGCCAACCTGCACCATTGAAATTTTAAAGAATACAGATAAAGAAAGTGGCTCATAGATTCATATAACTTATTTCAAGAAATTTGATGTCCTCGTGTAGTTTTTGCAGACAATTCTTTAAGTACTGCATACTTACACAGAAATGAGAGTCTTAAGTATTGCATAATTTGGTATGACAAGTACAATTGCCCCACTCATCTTGATGTCATAGACAAGCATAATCACCCCACCAATTTCCCAAACCTCAGCATTTTACACTCGTGAAGTTAACATTAATATTCATTCAAAGTTTGTTTTGACCGCCTGGACCAACAGATTCTGCATAATAAGTGCAGAGTAACAAAGATCTTATATCACTGAAAGAACTAAAATGCAAGTTCAACCAAAGGGACAAACATTTACATGCCAACAAAAGAAAAAAAAACCAAAGAATGTTCTGTTTGAGGCCAACAGAGTTACCTCAAACCTGAATACATCATACCTGTGAGGGATGTACTTAAGGCACCTCCAAACAACCTGACCCCCAAGAGAGAAACCTATTATGTAGAATGTGGATCCTAGTCCCAATTTATCAGCAAGTTCTTCTATATCTAGTGCCAGGCTCTTCACAGTTTGGCTTGGATGAGGATCACTCTCCCCATACCCTGGTCTGTCAAATGATACAATGTAGACCCCTAAATCCTCAGCAACATCCTGAAAAACCCCATCACAAATTCAGATAATACATCGACAAACATGTAGAGATCATAATTAGCATGTTATGATGTTCTGGTTATGAAAATTTAAGTAGAATGTTATTCCTTAATTAGCATTATTATAGAGAACGTTGTTAGTTAAAAAACATAGAAGTATCATATGCACACGGGATCACTTTCTTATGGGCATATCAACAAACATGCAGAGATCATAAGTTTGAGAAAACCTAACCCAATGCAAATGATGAGCAACTCTTTCGAGAAAAAGATATCAAAAGTGAAAGCAAGAATGGAAAGCTTGAAGGTTTATCCAGCAGTGGAAGGAACACCCGTCTTGAATCTGAAAAAGGCAGGATGCTGCTCCCACAAGAAGAAAGAAATCAAGAAGCATCAGGGCTGGTCATAGTTCACCAAACTGAACTTAAACTACAGTTAACTTATTATATTATACTTAAAAAAAATTAAACTATTTTTACTAAAAACTCATTAAATTATTTTATAGTTAAGGTTAAAAGAACTGAACCGTAATAATATTAGGGCAATTAACTAGTTAACTATGTGAAATGCTGTCTTCATCCTTTCTCCGTCAGCACCACCGTCCGCTGCCCTCTTCCTTCCCGCTGCCGCCATCCCTCCTCCCATCTCCTTCGATTAGCCTTCTAGGGCTTCCTTACCGGTTCTCTTTTCGCTCCAGCGTCAATGGCTCTTCCAGGTGTCTCTTCTCTTATTAACGAAATCATAATCTTTATTAATACCCACTCCAATATGTCTTTACAGATTCCCTTCTAGAGTACCCTCCTTTGAAACTAACACAGGGTAACCTGTTTTTTTTTTCTTTAAAGTAAAAAATTTGAACTTGTGATATTAAATTTTTTATGATAAAAAAATACAAAAAAACTCACAACCGTCCTTTGCAATAAACCTTTATACCATTCCGAATCTAAATCCCTAACCAGACCCTTCCCTAATTTTCCTCCCGTTCATTCTCACAAAACACACTTCCACGCCGTAATTGTCAAATATTAAATTCATCCAACCCTTTCTCTTTTCCTCTAATATCCACCATTGCTAGAACAAAATAAAAACCCTTGTGTTCTCTTTCGTTCTCTTTGTTGAACCTATTCCAATGGCTAGAGGCCTCTTCCACTTGTGCACACGCAAGAGAACCCTCTCAAAGCTTCAAGCTCTTCTCTTCAACCACTCCCATTTCCACACTTTTCAGAACCCGCTTTCCCCAATTTTGACCCGTTTCTCAAACCCGCTCCTTCGCCCGAGATTCTCTCAAAGTTCGAGACTTACCGGCGAAAGATTCCGCCTCGCAAGACCTTTTTCCGCATACGGGGATGAGGAGGGCGGCGGCGGCGGCGGCGGCGAGACGCCGATATCTGAGTTCGACGCAGATTGTGGTAAGAACATTGATTTTGAGCTTGGAAATGAGGCTAGTAGTAGTATTCATGGTTTTTCTGAATATGGGCTTGTTGCAAATGATGGTAGTAATGAATGCAATTTAGAGATTGTTGATTCTTTGAAAGAATGTAGTAGTATTAGTAGTGGTAGTGATAATGGCGATGAGTTAGGGAAGAAGAGTGATGAATTTGTTCACATGGCATCACGTGATCCCGTCGAGTTGTACGGCGAAATGTGCACTGGGAAACGGGGTGCAAGTCTGGATAGGTCAGAGGTAGAGGTGCTGCGAGAAGTGTGCCTTTGGTTTGCCAAATCAGGTTGGGCATCCAATCAGGCCCTTGCCATTTATATTGGTTTGTCATTTTTTCCCACAGCAGTACACAAGTTCCAGAGGTTTCTCATGAAGAACTGCCCTGCTGATGTTGCCAAGTACTTGGTGTATCTTGGGCCGAGCCATGAGGCGGTGAGTTTTTTGTTTCCCATATTTGTGGAGTTTTGTTTGGAGAATTTTCCTGATGAGATAAAGAGGTTCAGGAATATGGTTGAGTCGGCTGACCTCACCAAGCCACACACTTGGTTTCCATTCGCACGAGCGATGAAAAGGAAGATTATTTATCATTGTGGGCCGACGAATAGCGGCAAGACGTATAATGCTTTGCAGCGGTTTATGGAGGCGAAGAAAGGGATTTATTGTAGTCCACTTAGGTTGTTGGCTATGGAAGTTTTTGACAAGGTTAATGCAAAGGGGATCTATTGCAGCCTGTTGACTGGGCAGGAAAACAAGCGTGTACCGTTTTCAGATCATATTGCATGTACTGTGGAAATGGCATCGACACAGGAATTGTATGATGTGGCAGTTATTGATGAGATTCAGATGATGGCAGATCCTAATAGGGGATATGCATGGACAAGGGCTCTCCTTGGGTTGAAGGCTGATGAGATACATTTGTGTGGTGATCCTAGTGTTGTGGATATTGTCAAGAAGATCTGTCAAGACACTGGGGATGAGTTGTATGAACAGAATTATGAGAGGTTCAAACCATTGGTGGTTGAAGCTAAGACACTGCTAGGAAATCTCGAAAATATTCGGTCTGGGGATTGTGTAGTTGCATTCTCTAGAAGAGAGATATTTGAGGTTAAGTTGGCAATTGAGACGCAGACTAAACACCGTTGTTGTGTGATATACGGTGCTCTACCACCTGAAACTCGTAGACAGCAGGCTAGTTTGTTCAACGACCAAAGTAATGAATATGATGTTCTGGTGGCCAGTGATGCAGTGGGAATGGGCCTGAACCTTAACATCAGAAGGGTGATTTTTAATAGCCTTTCAAAGTACAATGGTGACAAAATGGTTCCTGTTCCAGCATCGCAAGTTAAGCAAATTGCAGGAAGAGCTGGCCGGAGAGGATGCCTATATCCTGATGGACTTGCCACAACCTTGCATTTAGATGATTTGGACTACTTAATTGAGTGTTTGAAGCAACCTTTTGATAATGTGAAAAAGGTAGGCCTGTTTCCATATTATGAACAGATTGAATTGTTTGCTGGGCAACTTCCGGATTTGACATTCAGCCAGATATTAGAAAAATTTGGTGAAAGTTGCCGTTTGGACGGGTCATACTTCTTGTGTCAACATGGTCACATCAAGAAGATTGCTAATATGTTAGAGAGGGTTCAGGGATTATCTCTAGAAGATCGTTTTCAGTTTTGTTTTGCTCCTGTCAATGTTAGAGAACCAAAAGCTATGCACCATTTACTTAGATATGCAACATCGCTTGGTCAGAAGCTCCCTGTAAATGTAGCTATGGGCATGCCAAAAAGTTCTGCTCGAAATGATGCTGAACTCCTAGACCTTGAGACTAGGCATCAAGTATTATCTATGTATTTGTGGTTGTCGAACCAATTTGACGAGAAGACATTTCCTTATGCGAAGAAAGTAGAGGCAATGGTTTCAGAAGTTGCTCACTTACTGGGTGAATCTCTTGTCAAAGCTAACTGGAAACCTGAACCAAGGAATAAAGGGACACAAAAAACTGAAAAAATTGAAAGGCAACTAGAAACAGGGAGTGCAGTTCAATTACAAACTGTAAAACGGGGAATGAACTATTCAAGGCCACAATCACTTACAAAATTATATAAGTAAGAATCCCTGGATCTATCTGTCTACCATCTTTATCCAAGTGTTTGTTTAATTTCACTAAATTTGAATTCAAAGATCTATTCTTTTGCTGCAAACTTCTTCTGTTTTACTATCTAAGCATATGGCTTCTTTATCTAAGGGAAAGGCTGGCTGTGATGATATCTTGTGAGATTTTGGTGGCTCATCATTGTGGCACACAAATTATGATTGTTGAAAACATTATCAGAGGGGGTAAAATGTTACGGTTAATTATTAAAAGGGTCTAACTCCAAATGATTATGGACCGAAACGAAAAGTAAATATATTAGAAGGATTAAAATAAAATAGCGTGGACGAAAAGCAAAAGAAAATTTATTTTAGGGAACAAATGTCATACAACAAATTTTACATTCCAAAAGAAAAGTACAACTTCATTTTGAGTATGAAAAACTTGTAAGTTCAAATTATTTTCTGGTACTATGTTTTCTATATTTTTTACCTTTCGAATTTGTTGGTGACTGGTTGTTTGGTGGGAGGGGATCAACATCCTGGAGGGAGAGATGCTTACTACATGCTATATCATAGTTTATTTTCTAGAAGGTCAAACTAGTTAATCATGCAAATCAATCACTTTTTGAAGTGATAACATTTTGAAGAATGAATCAATATTGAAGAATGTGCTAAAGTATATTACTAACACTATAGTTAATTTGTGTAGTTGTACTGGTGATACAATTGAAGGCTGAACTTTTATTTCTATGATAGGAAATCAAAAGGGTCCATGGATTAAGAAATAATTCACGGTTGAAGTCTGCAGCTAATGATTTATCTATGAATGTATTGGAGCTGTTTCTTATGCTAGCTTTGTTTCTTCTCCAGCTCTACGTTTTATAATTCAATGCGTTCAAAATCCATTGTTTTTTATATGCTCTATCGTTCTTTTTTTCTGTCATCTATGTATCTATCCCATGATCGGTGTTACCTGACTACAAGGTTTTTTTCTTTTTCTTCAGGAATCGTCATCAGGATTTTTTACAGCTTGATAAGTCAAAGAAAGTAGCTAGCTAAATTGTCATGACCCTAAGGTAGTTCTAATATTCTCTCTTCTGTTGGGGATGGATCTTTAAGGTTTATTTTCTGCGGGATAAGTACCCTATAAGTTCTGATCATATAGGAATTTTCTGAAATGAATATGAAAAGTTACCCGTTTGTCACACTTCATTTCGGTAACAATCCATTTTACCGGAGTATCGGAACATTGAAGTTAACGGTAAGTATTGCTCTGAGATGGAGTTGAAATAGAAGAGATTTATTTATAACAGATTTACGGATTTTCAAGTTCACCAAATCATGAGGTGTGAAAATGGAGTCGAGAAATTCTGATTTGTTCAACTTTACTGTGGATAAATAGGTCAATCATAATTACCGTTCGAAGGAAACATACATATATTCTTGACTAATTTCGTTATGCCGCAAGTTAAGATTTTGTTGAGGTTTTTATAGGTTTATCCTTTTTGTGACATATAAGTATTTGCCAAATGCTTGACATTTGTGTAATACAAAACTGACGTAGAAGAAATCGTGTTGTGTTGTAAGTGTGGTTCTAATTGATCTCGTGTATTTACTAGATCTTAGATTTCATTACTCACTTTATTGTAATTAAAGTAACTGATTGACTTAATATATAGTAATAAAATTGTTCTAAAGTTCATAAATAAATGTCATTAAGACTTATTTGATTTCTGTTTATTTTCCACTACAATCAATACTTTAATTAAGAATATTTTGGTAAAATAAAATAATTGATGCAACGGACATTAAAGAAAAACAAATATCTTTTATTATATATATTTTGGCCAAAACAGTAATAAATTATGGAAAATAGTTATCGGCCTGGGAAGAAATGAGCTTGTCAAACAAAATCTGTTAACAAATTACATTCCAATTACAAAATTGTATACACAAACTGGGGAAATTGTATGGAAGTTTCAAAATTTGGTAAAAGCTCCCCATAAAGGACTTTTATGAGAATCGACACCCAGTATACAAATCCTAATAAAGAAGAAAATAAGGGTTAAAACTATCCCAGATAGAGCAATTTTCGATCTGAGGAAACAAGCCTTCAGCAACATCACCGGCCACTTTCTCATGTGATTCTACAACTAACTTAAATAGGTTAGAAATCAAAGGGTTTCTAAGAAATGGATTGATGGCTCTTCCAAGAACAACTATATCAGATAGTAGTAGTTTGGCATCATTACATACAAGGAAAATGCAGTTAGAAATAGCATAGAAACCGAGTAAATTTGCATATAAGGGTAAAAATGCATCTTTATGGTTACCCACGCCTCCTATCCAATCATTCCCTTCCTGTTTCACAATATGGTCTTGAGCATATGACACTAGTTGATGGGAAAATCTAGCTCTCCATTCATGTAAATAGCTCNTTAAGTATTGCATAATTTGGTATGACAAGTACAGTTGCCCCACTCATCTTGATGTCATAGACAAGCATAATCACCCCACCAATTTCCCAAACCTCAGCATTTTACACTCGTGAAGTTAACATTAATATTCATTCAAAGTTTGTTTTGACCGCCTGGACCAACAGATTCTGCATAATAAGTGCAGAGTAACAAAGATCTTATATCACTGAAAGAACTAAAATGCAAGTTCAACCAAAGGGACAAACATTTACATGCCAACAAAAGAAAAAAAAACCAAAGAATGTTCTGTTTGAGGCCAACAGAGTTACCTCAAACCTGAATACATCATACCTGTGAGGGATGTACTTAAGGCACCTCCAAACAACCTGACCCCCAAGAGAGAAACCTATTATGTAGAATGTGGATCCTAGTCCCAATTTATCAGCAAGTTCTTCTATATCTAGTGCCAGGCTCTTCACAGTTTGGCTTGGATGAGGATCACTCTCCCCATACCCTGGTCTGTCAAATGATACAATGTAGACCCCTAAATCCTCAGCAACATCCTGAAAAACCCCATCACAAATTCAGATAATACATCGACAAACATGTAGAGATCATAATTAGCATGTTATGATGTTCTGGTTATGAAAATTTAAGTAGAATGTTATTCCTTAATTAGCATTATTATAGAGAACGTTGTTAGTTAAAAAACATAGAAGTATCATATGCACACGGGATCACTTTCTTATGGGCATATCAACAAACATGCAGAGATCATAAGTTTGAGAAAACCTAACCCAATGCAAATGATGAGCAACTCTTTCGAGAAAAAGATATCAAAAGTGAAAGCAAGAATGGAAAGCTTGAAGGTTTATCCAGCAGTGGAAGGAACACCCGTCTTGAATCTGAAAAAGGCAGGATGCTGCTCCCACAAGAAGAAAGAAATCAAGAAGCATCAGGGCTGGTCATAGTTCACCAAACTGAACTTAAACTACAGTTAACTTATTATATTATACTTAAAAAAAATTAAACTATTTTTACTAAAAACTCATTAAATTATTTTATAGTTAAGGTTAAAAGAACTGAACCGTAATAATATTAGGGCAATTAACTAGTTAACTATGTGAAATGCTGTCTTCATCCTTTCTCCGTCAGCACCACCGTCCGCTGCCCTCTTCCTTCCCGCTGCCGCCATCCCTCCTCCCATCTCCTTCGATTAGCCTTCTAGGGCTTCCTTACCGGTTCTCTTTTCGCTCCAGCGTCAATGGCTCTTCCAGGTGTCTCTTCTCTTATTAACGAAATCATAATCTTTATTAATACCCACTCCAATATGTCTTTACAGATTCCCTTCTAGAGTACCCTCCTTTGAAACTAACACAGGGTAACCTGTTTTTTTTTTCTTTAAAGTAAAAAATTTGAACTTGTGATATTAAATTTTTTATGATAAAAAAATACAAAAAAACTCACAACCGTCCTTTGCAATAAACCTTTATACCATTCCGAATCTAAATCCCTAACCAGACCCTTCCCTAATTTTCCTCCCGTTCATTCTCACAAAACACACTTCCACGCCGTAATTGTCAAATATTAAATTCATCCAACCCTTTCTCTTTTCCTCTAATATCCACCATTGCTAGAACAAAATAAAAACCCTTGTGTTCTCTTTCGTTCTCTTTGTTGAACCTATTCCAATGGCTAGAGGCCTCTTCCACTTGTGCACACGCAAGAGAACCCTCTCAAAGCTTCAAGCTCTTCTCTTCAACCACTCCCATTTCCACACTTTTCAGAACCCGCTTTCCCCAATTTTGACCCGTTTCTCAAACCCGCTCCTTCGCCCGAGATTCTCTCAAAGTTCGAGACTTACCGGCGAAAGATTCCGCCTCGCAAGACCTTTTTCCGCATACGGGGATGAGGAGGGCGGCGGCGGCGGCGGCGGCGAGACGCCGATATCTGAGTTCGACGCAGATTGTGGTAAGAACATTGATTTTGAGCTTGGAAATGAGGCTAGTAGTAGTATTCATGGTTTTTCTGAATATGGGCTTGTTGCAAATGATGGTAGTAATGAATGCAATTTAGAGATTGTTGATTCTTTGAAAGAATGTAGTAGTATTAGTAGTGGTAGTGATAATGGCGATGAGTTAGGGAAGAAGAGTGATGAATTTGTTCACATGGCATCACGTGATCCCGTCGAGTTGTACGGCGAAATGTGCACTGGGAAACGGGGTGCAAGTCTGGATAGGTCAGAGGTAGAGGTGCTGCGAGAAGTGTGCCTTTGGTTTGCCAAATCAGGTTGGGCATCCAATCAGGCCCTTGCCATTTATATTGGTTTGTCATTTTTTCCCACAGCAGTACACAAGTTCCAGAGGTTTCTCATGAAGAACTGCCCTGCTGATGTTGCCAAGTACTTGGTGTATCTTGGGCCGAGCCATGAGGCGGTGAGTTTTTTGTTTCCCATATTTGTGGAGTTTTGTTTGGAGAATTTTCCTGATGAGATAAAGAGGTTCAGGAATATGGTTGAGTCGGCTGACCTCACCAAGCCACACACTTGGTTTCCATTCGCACGAGCGATGAAAAGGAAGATTATTTATCATTGTGGGCCGACGAATAGCGGCAAGACGTATAATGCTTTGCAGCGGTTTATGGAGGCGAAGAAAGGGATTTATTGTAGTCCACTTAGGTTGTTGGCTATGGAAGTTTTTGACAAGGTTAATGCAAAGGGGATCTATTGCAGCCTGTTGACTGGGCAGGAAAACAAGCGTGTACCGTTTTCAGATCATATTGCATGTACTGTGGAAATGGCATCGACACAGGAATTGTATGATGTGGCAGTTATTGATGAGATTCAGATGATGGCAGATCCTAATAGGGGATATGCATGGACAAGGGCTCTCCTTGGGTTGAAGGCTGATGAGATACATTTGTGTGGTGATCCTAGTGTTGTGGATATTGTCAAGAAGATCTGTCAAGACACTGGGGATGAGTTGTATGAACAGAATTATGAGAGGTTCAAACCATTGGTGGTTGAAGCTAAGACACTGCTAGGAAATCTCGAAAATATTCGGTCTGGGGATTGTGTAGTTGCATTCTCTAGAAGAGAGATATTTGAGGTTAAGTTGGCAATTGAGACGCAGACTAAACACCGTTGTTGTGTGATATACGGTGCTCTACCACCTGAAACTCGTAGACAGCAGGCTAGTTTGTTCAACGACCAAAGTAATGAATATGATGTTCTGGTGGCCAGTGATGCAGTGGGAATGGGCCTGAACCTTAACATCAGAAGGGTGATTTTTAATAGCCTTTCAAAGTACAATGGTGACAAAATGGTTCCTGTTCCAGCATCGCAAGTTAAGCAAATTGCAGGAAGAGCTGGCCGGAGAGGATGCCTATATCCTGATGGACTTGCCACAACCTTGCATTTAGATGATTTGGACTACTTAATTGAGTGTTTGAAGCAACCTTTTGATAATGTGAAAAAGGTAGGCCTGTTTCCATATTATGAACAGATTGAATTGTTTGCTGGGCAACTTCCGGATTTGACATTCAGCCAGATATTAGAAAAATTTGGTGAAAGTTGCCGTTTGGACGGGTCATACTTCTTGTGTCAACATGGTCACATCAAGAAGATTGCTAATATGTTAGAGAGGGTTCAGGGATTATCTCTAGAAGATCGTTTTCAGTTTTGTTTTGCTCCTGTCAATGTTAGAGAACCAAAAGCTATGCACCATTTACTTAGATATGCAACATCGCTTGGTCAGAAGCTCCCTGTAAATGTAGCTATGGGCATGCCAAAAAGTTCTGCTCGAAATGATGCTGAACTCCTAGACCTTGAGACTAGGCATCAAGTATTATCTATGTATTTGTGGTTGTCGAACCAATTTGACGAGAAGACATTTCCTTATGCGAAGAAAGTAGAGGCAATGGTTTCAGAAGTTGCTCACTTACTGGGTGAATCTCTTGTCAAAGCTAACTGGAAACCTGAACCAAGGAATAAAGGGACACAAAAAACTGAAAAAATTGAAAGGCAACTAGAAACAGGGAGTGCAGTTCAATTACAAACTGTAAAACGGGGAATGAACTATTCAAGGCCACAATCACTTACAAAATTATATAAGTAAGAATCCCTGGATCTATCTGTCTACCATCTTTATCCAAGTGTTTGTTTAATTTCACTAAATTTGAATTCAAAGATCTATTCTTTTGCTGCAAACTTCTTCTGTTTTACTATCTAAGCATATGGCTTCTTTATCTAAGGGAAAGGCTGGCTGTGATGATATCTTGTGAGATTTTGGTGGCTCATCATTGTGGCACACAAATTATGATTGTTGAAAACATTATCAGAGGGGGTAAAATGTTACGGTTAATTATTAAAAGGGTCTAACTCCAAATGATTATGGACCGAAACGAAAAGTAAATATATTAGAAGGATTAAAATAAAATAGCGTGGACGAAAAGCAAAAGAAAATTTATTTTAGGGAACAAATGTCATACAACAAATTTTACATTCCAAAAGAAAAGTACAACTTCATTTTGAGTATGAAAAACTTGTAAGTTCAAATTATTTTCTGGTACTATGTTTTCTATATTTTTTACCTTTCGAATTTGTTGGTGACTGGTTGTTTGGTGGGAGGGGATCAACATCCTGGAGGGAGAGATGCTTACTACATGCTATATCATAGTTTATTTTCTAGAAGGTCAAACTAGTTAATCATGCAAATCAATCACTTTTTGAAGTGATAACATTTTGAAGAATGAATCAATATTGAAGAATGTGCTAAAGTATATTACTAACACTATAGTTAATTTGTGTAGTTGTACTGGTGATACAATTGAAGGCTGAACTTTTATTTCTATGATAGGAAATCAAAAGGGTCCATGGATTAAGAAATAATTCACGGTTGAAGTCTGCAGCTAATGATTTATCTATGAATGTATTGGAGCTGTTTCTTATGCTAGCTTTGTTTCTTCTCCAGCTCTACGTTTTATAATTCAATGCGTTCAAAATCCATTGTTTTTTATATGCTCTATCGTTCTTTTTTTCTGTCATCTATGTATCTATCCCATGATCGGTGTTACCTGACTACAAGGTTTTTTTCTTTTTCTTCAGGAATCGTCATCAGGATTTTTTACAGCTTGATAAGTCAAAGAAAGTAGCTAGCTAAATTGTCATGACCCTAAGGTAGTTCTAATATTCTCTCTTCTGTTGGGGATGGATCTTTAAGGTTTATTTTCTGCGGGATAAGTACCCTATAAGTTCTGATCATATAGGAATTTTCTGAAATGAATATGAAAAGTTACCCGTTTGTCACACTTCATTTCGGTAACAATCCATTTTACCGGAGTATCGGAACATTGAAGTTAACGGTAAGTATTGCTCTGAGATGGAGTTGAAATAGAAGAGATTTATTTATAACAGATTTACGGATTTTCAAGTTCACCAAATCATGAGGTGTGAAAATGGAGTCGAGAAATTCTGATTTGTTCAACTTTACTGTGGATAAATAGGTCAATCATAATTACCGTTCGAAGGAAACATACATATATTCTTGACTAATTTCGTTATGCCGCAAGTTAAGATTTTGTTGAGGTTTTTATAGGTTTATCCTTTTTGTGACATATAAGTATTTGCCAAATGCTTGACATTTGTGTAATACAAAACTGACGTAGAAGAAATCGTGTTGTGTTGTAAGTGTGGTTCTAATTGATCTCGTGTATTTACTAGATCTTAGATTTCATTACTCACTTTATTGTAATTAAAGTAACTGATTGACTTAATATATAGTAATAAAATTGTTCTAAAGTTCATAAATAAATGTCATTAAGACTTATTTGATTTCTGTTTATTTTCCACTACAATCAATACTTTAATTAAGAATATTTTGGTAAAATAAAATAATTGATGCAACGGACATTAAAGAAAAACAAATATCTTTTATTATATATATTTTGGCCAAAACAGTAATAAATT